CTTAATACCAAAAAATACCAAAAGAGGGGGGAGGGTCCTTTCAAAAAGACTAGTGGTAATAATTGAATAACCGATGTATTGATGTTGGTGGGACTATTCATTTGTCTACTTCCCATGTAATTTGATACCTATTAACCTCCTAGACCTCACCCTGGACCTGTCTCCCCGCTCACTCACTATGCTCCAGCACACAGGGGTTTTTTAATGTTCTTCAAACCATTCAGCCCATTTCTACATCAAGGTTTTGCCCTTGTTCTTCCTTCTCTCAGGCCTTTTCTGACCGGCACAGTCTCATCATCCATGTGACAACAGCAGAAGATTAAGTAAAGGGACATACAGGGGCCAAATCCTGTAAGGCTGTAGACCCTCTTATGGAGTTTGGACATTAAGCTAAGAGTAATAGGTAGCCAATGAGGAGTTTTGAGTAGAAGGAAGATATAATCTGATTCCATTTTTTTAAGGCACCCCAGTGGCTGTCCAATGGAGAAAGGATTGGGGCAAAGGGTGGCAGGCTTGGAAGGAAGAAGCCAAGACAGAGGCTGCTGTCTTAACAGTCCAGACAGGAAATGCCCGTGACTTGGACCAAGTGAAGGTAGAGGGAAATAGCAGATTTAGAAATGAAAAGAACAGGGTTTTCTAATGGATTTGCTTTGTTCATTCATGCATTCAGCATTCTATTATATCCATTGATGGACAACACATCAGACAAAAATCCCCACCCTTGTGGAGTTTATATTCTAGTAGATGCATGAAGCTGTAACTGGGACTGAGACTTTGAAAAAGTAGGTGAAAGAAAAAGCATTCCATGGGTGAGAAGCCAAGTCTGAAAGACAGCATGCATTTAGGAAGTAGCAGGGACAGTATTGGCAAGCCCAGAAATTGTATGGAAGGGACTGTGGAAAGATCTTAAGGACTTTCAGATTTTCTTAAAGGCAACCAGAAGATATTGATAATTTTTGAGCAAAGACTCCACATGATCAGAAACTGTTTAGAATGCTTTGTGAAAGAAAGTCAGTATTAGGGAAGAATTAGCATGACCTGTTCAAGCATGACCTGTTCCCTGGATATCAGAACCAAGAAGGAAGACACATTCATCTTCAAATTAATAGTCATTTTTATTTCATTAAACTAACAATTTTTGCATAATTCTCTTAAAATGGGATTTTGCACTGGTCGAATATCACAGTCCAACAAAAATCAAGCTTAATATCAAAACTTTCTGTGCATAAGTGTTTCTGTGTTATAATATTTCTTCCTCATTACCATCAATGAGACAAGCCTATAAAGGCTTTCCGTAATTAATAAGGAAAAACATTTCCCCAGAAGCAATTGGCTTACATTGCTGGGATCATTGAAAAGATGAATGGCAAAGTAAGAAGAATATACAGTTTGATTTTGCCTGCTACGTACCTGGCTTGTTATGTGTCATTTCACCTAATCATTGTTACTAGCCCTGGCAGGAGCCCCAACCCACAGCAGAAGCATGTGCAATATTAAAATAGTGGCTCAGATGGTACCTCTTCTCTGTTCTGAGGTGTGACCTCTGCCCAGGAACACTAAGAGATCAATGCTGCTGACACCTGGAGCAGTGTCTAAGGTAATCCTGCAGCTCTAGCTATCTAGTTTGCAAGTGGTTCTTCTCTTTTCCTGGTGGCTGATTCCAAAGACCTCTGGGAAGGAATCCTTGGCACATACTGAGATGCTTTCATGTGAACTCTGACATGAAAATGATAGCGACTATAAGAAGGCCAGGAAACCGTAAGGAACCATCCAAAGGAGAAGGTGAGGACACACCGGGAGGAGCGGAGCAGACAGCAAAGCACAGACTTCTGTGGGCACTGCCCCTGTCCTCAGTGACCACAGCCTGGGGTCTTCCTCACTGCCACCAGAAACAGGCCACTCCAGAAGGAATGGAGGAAGCTTTTGTCTTGCTTTTCCCCTGTGCTCTTGGTAACAGATCTTTTTGGAACTTGCAAATAAGTTCTTACCTGAGGTTAGCCACAGGGACACAGCCTTCTCCTCTGAATGTCTATTTGGACATCAGTCAAAATGTCAGCCTGCTCCTCTCAGGCCTGAGAATGATGCTTCTTGATCTGCCTTGCTATTGAATTGTCCTCTCAAGGAAGTCTGGTTTTTATATTTTAGGGATAAAATCCAGAGGAGAAAAGAAAATGTAAAAAAAAAAAACAAAAAAAAAAAAAAACAAAACACCTAAACAACAAAAGAGAGAGAGAAAGGAAAACCCAACTTGTAAGCATTGAATAGTTCAAAAGCATTCAGAGGAAATGCAAAGACCAAGTGGAGGAATGGAAGAGTCTTTGATGGTTAAAAGAAAACAAACTACTTCACAAATAACTGGGGAAATACTGTAAAGAAATGAGACTTTTATTTAATATTCTTAAAGAAGAGCCGCCAGAAAAATACAAATGGTTGCTTTTTTCAGGCTGGACGTGCACTACACTTTCCAATGATTTTGGCAATTACTCTGCAAAATTTAATTAGTTCATTCTCTCCTGCTTAATTTTCTGTACAAATTTAACAAATATTTGACCTTTAACCACACTTTGCCATTGCTTGGTGTTTTTCCAAAGTACATGAGCATATGTGCTTGATTTCCTTTGTTTCAAGTTAATGAGTTCATCCACCAATTTTGCTGGTCCTATTGGGTACAAATATAGCAAAACTTATTTAAAATATTTCCTAGGCATTGTAATTAACACACCCACACACACACACACACACACCAAACAAACAACAAATGCCCCTCCAAGGAAGGGGGGGAATTAATTAGCAGGATGCAAAATATTCCCATGTGGCATTTTCCCCTTGTCTTTTAAGCCAACTATTTCATGGAAAATCCTACCACATGTACTGTGTGCACCAGGAAGTCTTTCAACAGGTTTGGTCATTGTACAGTATTCATGCAGAAGCTTCTGGATTTATACCCCTTTACTCAATCCCAAAAGATTTGGTTGGCCTGCCAGGAGACCCCAAATCTCCAAGTGTTGAATTATGTCAGAATGTAATTCCAGGCTACAGGACTTGTTACTTCCTGTTTCAAAGAACTGAGATCCAAAAGAAGTCTTTCATTTTCTTTACATCTAAAGGAGGAGATGCATTTGGGAATGCGTAAGTGATCTGTGAAGGAAAGGAGAATCGAACGTGCTCCAGTTCCACCTAGGGACCAAGCAATTAGCTGATTTGGCATTTTCAACCCCAGAAAATTGCCTTAAAAAAATGTACTCCTAGACCCAAAACAGTAAATGCAGCCATGAGTATCAGAGTTGAAAGGCACAAAAGGTATAAAGGAAATAACAGTGGTGAGGAGACAACCTTTGGTAAGGAGAATGAAACCAACTGTTTTAATCCCAGTTTTCCACTTCTTAATATAGACCACAAATTGCTTAAGCCTGTGATCAAATTCAGCCCCTGTTCCCAGAAGGAGCACCTTGCTGGCCTAGCCCTAAGTGGCAAAACTCCTCTGGGAGGTGTAAGAAATGAGCAGAAGTTCTAATTTCTGTTCTTTCTCCAGACTGAAGGAAATGTAACTCAGCCCATTCAGGTACATAAGGGTTAAAAAAAAAAAGCGTGTGCTTTTTGGAAACAGCTGGAACCCATTAGCAACTCTGAGCCCATCTTGGTAACTCAGTTAGAGGGTGGGTGGCCTGGCAGGGCTCCTGGATCCATGCGTGTAATCACAGATTCTTAGCACTGGGAGAGGTTTTATTTCCACCTCCCACCCAATGTAGAAATCCTCTCCAACCATTCTGCTTGCAGACCTCCACCAATGGGGATTCACTGCTTCAGGAGGCAGCCCATTCCTTTAAGGACAATGCCAATTCCTAGAAAGTTCTTGGCAAAATCTGCCTCTATGGAAAGTTGACCCCTCCAGTTCTAGCTCAGCCCTCCAGTGTCGCAGCACGCAACAGTCGCACTTGCTTCCAAATTCTTGCCTTTTCATGGTTGAAATGACCTGTTTCTGAGGACCATCACAACTGGGCTTATATTGCAGAGTCTCTTCTGAAGAACGGGGCCCAGGACCGGATACATTTCCATCTTGAAGGGCACCAGGATTGTCTTACCTAGAGGACCTTTTACTTCAGGAGTTTTTGAGGGAAAATCTTTGTGGGGAAGATGCAACCCCATCTTTTTTTAGTTATTATTAATAGAGCATGTCTTCCCACCTGATCCCCCAGGCAAGCTTTCAGCTCCAGAAGACTTGCTTATTGCACAGAACTAGTCTGCAAGAAGTAACAAAGCCAAAGAGAGGGAGAAAAGAGTGGATGAGCTTCCCTGGATGCTCATAAGGGGAGTTCCCAGCTTTCCACAAAGTGTTGAAGCAAATGAGAAAAGATCACTCCCATAGTGGCCTGGCACCTAGGCCTAGAGAATCCTCTAGGACCAAGGTCACTTTCATCATATCTCTCCCAGTCCAAAGACCTTCCTTGGTGTCCCACATCCTACACAGAACACAAGCATTTCAACCTCCTGAATCTGATGCAGCCCCACCAATCCACTTCCCTCCCACCAGGCTTACCCCAGTCATCTCCGACCTCAAGACTTATGTTTTCTTTGTTGGCCCTTCCTGGAATAGCTTTCCTTCCTCATGTGAGGTTGTCTTAGAGTTTTCTCTTTCTGAGCTAACAACACATATTCTGAAAACCCAGTACCCTCCCACTATTGACTCAAAATTACATTTCTGGTCACTAGAAGTGGGTCTTTTCCCAGAGTTCTCTTCTTAAATTAATTCATTGTCCAAATAAGCACAGGAATACATTTTTGCTCCTAGCAGGTTGAATGCAATGGGTGGACATTGTTGTGCATTTGGTCTGAGGAATGTTCTATTCACATCTCTGCCTTCATGATATGGAAGGCATGCAGGGTCAGCCCAGGTTCTGACTTCTAGAAATTAAGCAAATGAACACTTACAACCTAATGGAGTCATCTCATATATAAGCTGATACAACAGGTGGAATTTTGACTTCCTTTTCTCTTCCCAGCTGTGCCTCAGATCAACTGTGATGTCAAAGCTGGAAAGATAATCAATCCTGAGTTCATTGTGAAATGTCCAGCAGGATGCCAAGACCCCAAGTACCACGTTTATGGCACTGGAATCTACGCGTCTTACTCCAGTGTGTGTGGCGCTGCGGTGCACAGGTAGGTGGCTCTGAGCTACTTAATAACTAGCAATCAAGGTGCTGACAGGGAGCCCGTGATGCAGGGTTGCTGAATTTAGCAAACAAAAATATACAAATTTGAGCATCCTGCACTTTATTTGGCAACTACATCCCAAAGGGAGGACCCAGAAGTCATATGTGGCCCTTCTCCTTCCACAACACTCTGAGAAAAGACAGCTCACTTCTCTTTATATCTTGATGGGGAGGGAAGAATTCTACTCTTTTAAGTTCGTGACAAGGAAACCAAACCAAACCAAAGCCATTTTTGTTTCTACCTGTATGTGCCAGGCAAGGAAATGAGAGGGATATGGCCAAAGAATGCCCAAAAATTTGAAGGAAAAAATGTCAGCATGATTCTAGTGATGGCCTGGAGACAAAGAAGTGAGAAGAAGGGTGGTGGGAGGTATCACCAGGTCAAGTGTTGGTCTGAGATCCAGGAAGGAGGACAGGAAACAGGGCATTCTTTGAACTAAGTCACTTCTCAAATGAGGAGATATGCAAAGTGACCTTCCCCAAATCCTCAGACTACTTTTTCATAAGTTTGGGGTCAACACACAGGGAAATGCATATTTCCTTAATAACTTTGAGGATAAGGCTGGCACATATGGGCCCAGCACTTCACCTGGGCTGTTTTATTTAGTCTTCCAATTCTCCTAAGTGGTATCTACTACTATTATGCACCTCTTAAAGATGAAGACCAGTTAATAACTTTGCTTTAGCTACCCTGTTTAAAGATATCAGTCCAGCCAGCTGCAGTGCCCATGCTCCTAACTACTGCCAGCACAACTTTGAGAGGTGACTCCCAAGTCAGTGCTCAGCAAATGGATGCTGGATGAGGTCTCTGAATTCTTCAGGCTTCTGGTATCTTATTCCTTTTCTGTATTTACACATAAACCAATGGTTTGTTCAATCATTATCTCTGCCAGAAAGAGAGGTGACAATGTAAAATCCATTCCTTCTCATAGCATCAGTAGATGTCCTAAACTTTAGGGTAAACAGTAAGGAAAAATAAAGTTACATAAGATAAAGTTCAGGAATTACTGGTAGACTTGATCATTCATACTTCCCTTTTCCCCACTATTGTTGAGGGTTCATGAGCTAATTGGTTTTTCAATGGCAGCAGGACTATGATAACTTATTAAGTACAAGTAGTGGAATAGTAAATAAAATGACACCAAACATTGTTTCCTAACTTCAGATTGTGAAATAAAAATTCCCTTTTGCCCCAAAGTCAATTTCATGCCAAAAATAAGTGTATACACACACATACACAAATACACATGTGCATGCCCTATGTGATTATCTGTGCCATGTGCATGCCTCCTACACATACTGATACATACACATGCTTGCTCACACACAGCTTTACGCACTCGTGCAGGCCCATACAGCCCACCAACACTGGGAGCTTTCTCCTGTCTGTGTTTGTATAGACTCTCATGTCTGTGTAGACAGTGACATCTGCTGCAGAGGCTGAGCCTGTCCTAATGTGCCCTTATTTTTCCAATTGGGATCCTAGATGGTTGATGCATTGCTGCCTGCGGTACTTGCTGACTCTCTCCTACCCTGCCACATTTCCTAGGAAGAACAGAGGCACAGAGTAAATTTGACCTCACCAAAGATGTCATTGTGGTTCAGTGGTAGAGCACTTGCCTAGCATGTGAGAGGTACTGGGTTTGATTCTCAGCACCACATAAAAAAATAAGTAAAATAAAGGCATTGCCTCCATCTATAACTAATAAAAATATTTTTTAAAAAAATAATAAGGAATCTAGGTGTTATGATTCTCTCCTAACTTCAACTCAGTCCTATGAGGCACTGTTAGCATGACCATTTTTCAAAAGAGGACATTAGTCATAGGGAAGTCAATTAAATTGCTCATTATTTGCACACTGAAGATTCGAACTCATTTCTCCTGACTTCCAGCTCAGAGCCCAGTTGACCCATTTTGATAAGAACAAGGGAGTCTCAGCATCCCTTAATGTACAAAGTGAGGACTCCAGGAGGATGTAGACTTCACAGGAGTCAGAGTTAGAAAAGGCTTTATGAAGGACAGGTGTACCCTGGAAAGAAAACAGGAAGGGCATTCACTGGGCCAGGGCTTTGCAATCCCAGGGTGTGGGATGGACTGGAGGCTTGGTGAGAAGAATATAGCTGAAGGTGGAAGAAAAGAGCTTGAATGCTTCAGAAACAATATTGGCTGCTCAACCAACTAATGCCATGTGGCTTCCTGGCACAATGGAAAAACTCGTTGGAAAGAGGTATTGCTATCCTGGGGAAGGGTAAAAAGGAAAAACTGGAATTTTGGTTGCTACTTTACCTTTGTTTTTTACCAAAAGAGCAAGTCTGTCTTCAGGAGGTAGGATTTAAGACATAAAGTACCTGAATCAAAAATGCATTGGGGACCTACAGCCACTGTCTTGGTAGAATTCCCCACGGTCAGAACTAGAAGGTAGGAGAGAGCATATGTTGGCTTAGAAATTCAGGTTAATTTTAATTCATATTTATATACTATAACAAGCTCATATGTTTTCTTATAAGTCATCTCCTTGATTCCTTCAAACCAAGAAGATAATGGACATATTTGAGACATTGTATATTGGCTCAATCTTATCCTAAACTAACCCTATATTAATGTGGAGCCGAGTGCTAGGGAAAAGAGATTTCTCTGAGATGGAGCAATGAAGAGGCCACCTCCATGCAGAATCTTCCCACTGATTTCTGACCAAATGCCCACCCCTAGAACAGCAGCACTGTTCCTTCTCTCTGAACCAAGGCACTCACAGTCAGCTTATCCCTAACCCCTGGTACCAGGGACAGGAAACATGTGGACATCAACACCGTGTGCAGCTCCATGCGGAGCATCTGAGGAACACCAAGAAGTGGAACTTGTTTTGCTCTGTCAGAGAATGAAGATAAAAATTTTCATACATTCTCCAAATTGCAACCTCTTTGAGCTCCCATCTGCCAATAAGTGGAACCACAGCCTTTTCCCAGCTGTCTCCCTCCTTCACTAGTATATCTTCTACATTGGTCTAGTCTCCCTGATTTTGAAATATCTGCACCCTCCAATTAGGAGGGAAGATGAGACTTTTCTCTACCCTAACACGCAAATCTCATGAGGACCCACAGTTCTACATTTACAATTGTCGGAAAGTCTGGGTTTCTGGTCTTCCGTAGCCCTCACAAGGGATGTCACAGCTACAGGGCTCCTGCCTCTTATATAGGAGTGTGGGCACAGGCACATGGTTCCTCAAAAAAGCAGTCCTGGGTGTAATATAATATAAACCCAAGGGCAGAATGATTTCTCTGGAGAAAAAGAAAAGGGTAAGTGTTATTTCCCATTTTCCCCATTCATTATAAGTTAAAGAGAGCATGAGGTAATTGTTTAAAAAAATCCTCATAATTTTCAGACTGAGCCAATAGTATGCTGGAAAATGTTTTAACAAACAACTTTTCAAAAGAAGGCAAGGAGGGGGGAGGCCTGATTTTCCCTTTCCCACATATACCTCCTCCTACCATGGTTGATTTCAAGCTACCAATGTCAAGTCAATCAGCTCTCAAAATCCTGAAATCATGACAATCCTCTCCCAAACCCTGGTATAATTGGTGCCCAAAGACCACAAATAGGCCTTCCTACACAAAGGTAAAAAATTCTGTCCTTTCCATAAGAAGTTTTCCAGTTCAGTTGAGAGATGAAATTAATTCCAGAAATCTTTAGGAAGTACTTTAGGAGTGGTGAGAACAAGATTCTGAGGGGGCTGGGGGTGAAGGGCAATGGCAGGATCTGTAGAAGAAAGGAGATACTGGGAATAGATGTACACCTGGAAAGCTGCTCAGGCCTGGTCAGGCAGACATGGAACCATATTTTCCAGGGGAAACAGCAGCATAATCAAAGACACATGAGTTGAAATGCGTGGTTGGCCAGGTGAGTAGAGACCAGCCCGACTCCCCCGATTGTGGAGAGAGAGCAGGAAGTAAAGACTCTGGGGAGTGAGATGGAGTTGTCATAGGAGGTCCTGTGCTCTTGAACCCTAAGAGGTAGCATGACCTCAAGGGACCAGTCCAGGATTGGAGTCAGTTAGGATTCAAATTCCTCTTGCAATTCACAACCAGACCTTGAGTGAATCAGTCACTCATAGAAACAGCCTGGAATGGGAATTACAGTGTTCCCTCCACTCCACAACTCAGAGGTTTGCTGGGAGGACCCATGGAGATGTCATACGTGACATGATTTTAAAGTAATTAAGTGCTTCACATGTCAAGTATTATTATCACTTTCTTTCCTTCTGGATCATTGGGAAGTTGAGTGTTGAATGTGGTTGACTCACTGTGAAGGTGGGAGGGAAGGAAATGGCAACTACCACTACCAGAGCCAGGGAAAGATATCGATAGAAACAAATCCACATACTTTCTCATGCCCTGCCTCCAGTGCCATGAAGTATGGATACCGAAAGAAGCCACGTTAGGCTCTGAGGCTAGGAGATGACATTGTGAAAGTGCTATTTAGGAACCAAAGTGGACCCCTTGCCTAACAGAGAAGAAGAAACATCAACATAGACATGTCAGTCACTATCACATTAGGATTTAAAACCTGGAGAAATCTTAGAAATTAAAAGACACAATTTTGAGTCTTTGGGAAACACTTTTCTTTTTGCAGAGCTGGGAATCGAACCCAGGTCTCATGCATTCTAAGCATGCATCCTATCATTGAGCTACACTCCCAGTACTGGGGACTATTTTAATGTGTTTAATTTAGCTGCACATATTCCCTCCCTGGTCTGAAACGAAAAGAATAATTTACTTTTAATAACTCCATACTGGGTCGGGGATGTAGCTCAATTATAGAGCACTTGCCTAGCATGCAAGGGGCCCAGAGTTCCATTCCCAACCATGTAATTTTTAAAAAATGCCTCTTCAAGGAATTAGAATTAAAGCAGAGCTCTAAAGCAACTCATACCTTGGAAGGAGCGAGTACAGATGGGAATAAATTCTGTTAAGAAAATTAATAATTTCATACTGCCATTTGTAATGACTGGATTCTTTCCATGATATCACAAAACAAAATTGGAATTTGTCAGGAAAGAAGTTTTACCTGAAAGAACCAGTGAGAAGCTGGGTATCATGGTGCAGCCTATAAGTCTCATCTACTCAGGAGGCTAAAGTGGGAGGATCACTTGAAACTGGACAACAGAGTGAGACTGTGACTCAAAGCAAACAAACAAAAAAGAAAAAGAAAGAAAGAAAAAGGGAGAAAATCCATCAGGAATGAGAAATCCAGGGAAAAAAGAAATTTGAGGCATGGTGACCAATTCCTGACTGACAGATGGGGTTCTATAAGAAGGAAGAGGACACTGAACCTGGCAGGTCAGGTACCAGGCTAGGTTGATGGAGGCACCATTATTGGGGCTTGGCTGCAGGATAGGGTAAACTTTTCCTTAACCTCACTGCTTTTGTATGTCTACATAAAGATGGAGACTGGCTTGCATGTTTACTGATGTCAAACAGCATTTCTGTACTTTCTTCAATTTTTTTTTTCTTTTCATAGTGGTGTGCTCGATAATTCAGGAGGAAAAATACTTGTTCAGAAAGTGGCAGGACAGTCCGGTTACAAAGGGAGTTTCTCCAATGGTGTTCAGTCCTTATCCCTACCAAGATGGAGAGAATCCTTCATCATCTCAGGTATGGCCACATGCTGGAGAAACACGGCTAACAAGAGGCATTTGGGATGACCTCCCAGGGTAAAGTTTGCTCTTTTCAATGAGCTTTTAGCTTTTGTTGATGGCCCACTTCATCTCATAATAATCCAAAGCACTACTTCTTCTAAGATCATGAAACGATGAATTATAATTACATGATAAATCACTACAAAGTCAAATCTAGAACTATTAAGAGCCTCAAATTGCTCATTTTAAACACATTGCTGCTATCTATAAGTACAATCAAATTTTTAATAAAGTGGATTGCATTAATAATTTATATTTTTAAACTAGTCTCTTTTTTTAGGCTAATATGCCCCATATCTGGGCATTTATCTTTTAAGATTTCTGGTAAATGAACAAATGGGAGCATGTGCTTAGAAAAAAAAAAAACTGAGCCACAATTTTAGTTTCAATTTTTTATTGTATTTAAATAATTGTTTTACTATTCAATCAGTTCTCCCTATCTAGAGCCACAGGATTTTTATAGATAATCATTTTCACTCTTCTCTCTTTCAAAAACTTAATAACAATGATCTATAATGACCACTGTAGTGCAGTTTCCCAGTGAAAGCTAACCTAGTATTCTTGGTGCTGTCATGACCTGCCTTCCCACCTTTTTCTATTTTTGTGAATTTCCCCAAGTCAAGCCTTTATTCTGAAAACATTCACATTAACAGAAAAATTAAAAGAGGAGTACAATGAATACCCATATTTCTTTCACCCAAATTCACGAATTGCTAATATTTTGCCACATTTGTTCTGTCTGCCAATCTATCTATCATCTATGAATACTTTTTTTCTGAACCATGTGAACATAAGTTGCCGGCAACATGACACTTTATCCCTAAATACTTCAGTACACATCTTGTAGGAATCGTTTTCCAAAATGACAATGATACCAATACTACACCCAGAATATAATCTTGAAATAATAATAGCATCTAATAAAAAGTTCTTATTCAAGTATCTCCAAAATATTCTTTATTATAATTATTTTTTTTCCTAAAAATCAGATCTACAATCTGATCGAAAGTTATGCATTGCATTTGGCTGTCATGTTCAATTAGTATCTTTAATCACCCACCACACTACCTCCTTGGTCAAGAATTTCAATTGACATCTATGAAGTCCAGGTCAGTTGTCTAGCATGTCCTATAATCTGGATGAAAAAATACTTCCAACTGTTTCCTCATGATTGGATTCAGGTTAAATATTTTGAAAACGGTAGGTCATATGGCATATCCATGGGGTCATACCACAATGGCCACATCAAGAGGCACATAGTGTTGATTTATCTAATTATTGGTGATAGTAAATTTGATTAGTTGGCTACATTCCATTTCTCTCCCAAAGATACTCGTAATTAATAAACAATCTGTAGAGTGATACTTTAAAACAACTTGGCTAACTGGTTCCCAAATAAATTTAACTTGGTAGTTTTAATATCCAGTGCTCATCCTTGCTGTAGTAAGAATTATATTAGTACAGTAGTCCCTCAGTATCATGGGGACTGATTCCAGGATCCCCTGTGGATGCCAAAATCTGCAGGATCCTCAATCCCTTACATAAAATGATATTCTATTTGCATATAACCCACACACATCCTCTCATATACTTCTTGTCAACCCTAGATTACTTATATAATACCTAATACAGTATAAATGCCATGTAAATAGTTATATATATATATATAAAGGAATAATGACAAGAAAAAAGTATATACATGTTCATCACGGACATAATTCTTTTTCTAAGTATTTTCAATCTGAGGTTAGTTGAATCCACAGATTCAGGAATCCATGGAAACAACTGTAATTGCAAAATCATAATTTTTCCTAATTCTGTCATCTCTTCCACATTTATTAGCTAATATTCTTATATAAAGAGGAGTTTTCTTCCTCTCCTCAACCTGTGCGTTTTTTTGTTGTTGTTTTTTTTTTTTAATGTTGACTATGGACTGGTGAATTGCTTTTGTAAATACAGTATATTATTATCACTGTCCTGATTGGTGTTCACGTTTTATGAGATTGGCCAGCAGGGGCCCCTCAGGCTTTGGACATATTCCCCATCAACATTTGAACACAACACAATCTCCGATGTCAACTTAAACCTCCACTGTTTAAGACCTGAATCTCCCATTTTCTCTAAGACAGTTCAGCAGGATCTTAAACTAGATTCTAGCATATCTTCCTGGAACTGTCACGGCACTTTCCTGAGAAGGAGCCACCTATGAAGAGGCAACTGAAGCAGAGAAATGTCTCCTAACATACTAGGTCTTCCAGCCTGGATGGTTCTCTAGCATTATTAGGCATCCTGTGCCCTAAACCCGACTACCCTCCAACTGTCAGGGTTGTAATACAACTAAAAACAGACCTTTGAGGATTCTTCTCAAATTGAACAATCCCTGTTCCCTGTTGCCTGCCAGGTTCTATACAACTCGGGTTCAAACTGGATTGGTTTCTTTATCAGATAGTGGAAGGGCATCAACTGCAATATTGCGGGTCTTTGCCTCATAACAGAACTCAGAACAGACCATCTGAAAATGCTAGTGTCTAGAATACAAATATGTTGAGACAGAAAGAAATATAATCTCCACATAGGTGTTTCCAAGTAACCCCTGGCTAAATAAGAGCATTTCAACCTTAAGGGGCTCAGCCTGCAACTCAAGAATCCCACCAGAGGCTTAAAAGAAAAAAATTAATTCCATGAGAGTAAGAGATGTTTTAGGTTTTTAAAATGAAAATCAATCTGCTGAGATTATTCCCTATAAATTTCAACTTCCATCTCCCCTCATTCCTCCTAGTGACATTTAACCGAAAGTACTTTTCGCCAACGATAATAAACATCTGTGCTTCTTCGGTGGCTAGGAAGCCTCTCGAATGGATGAGTGACGGAGTGCACTGCGGCAGAAGGCTGCAGCCAAGGAACGCCCCGTTATTCAGAGGTTCATGGCCAACGAGTTTAACTGGATCATGTCAGAATCCTTATGACCTTTCTCTAGGTTTTTATTTCTAATTTTTTACAGGTCACTGTGCTCCTATAATTAATTTGCTTTGGGAAACCGGGTTTGAGGGGCATGAGCATTTTTGGTCAGCATGATCTTTGGACAGTCCTGGGATTTTAAAAGTCAGTGAAGGACCCCCAATTGTTTTTGATTTACATTTCAGAAAACTCAGCTCATGCTCTTTTTCCTTCTGAATAGAAACAGAAACATTAGGTTTTAGTGGTGAGAAGAATAATGAATGCAGGGAGATGATGCGTCTGATCCCTTTCTGTTCATAAAAATGTGGCCCACAGCCGTGGGGCCCTTATGGGTTCTGAAATGGCCCCAATTAGTATCTGTTGGGAGCATACTTGGACCCATGTGGAGAACTTGGAAATGCCACATTGTACTCCCCAGGTGATTTTGCCTCATTTTGCCTGTGAGTGGCACTTATAGGTTACACCAGAATGAGTTTTTACATCTTTATAGATATGTACATGATATATGTTTTAGTCAACTTTTTCATCTCTGTGACCGAAAGACTTGACGAGAACAACACAGAGGAGGGAAAGTTTATTTGAGGCTCATGGTTTCAGAGGTCTCAGTCCATAGATGGCTGACTCCATAGCTCTGGGCCCAAGGTGAGGCAGAACAACATGGTAGAAGGGCATGACGGAGAATAGCAGCTCAGAACATGGAAAACAGGAATCGGAAAGAGCTCTCCTCACCAGGGACAAACTATAAACCTCAAAGGCATGCCACCAAGTGACCTGCATCCTCCAGCCACACCTACCTGCCTACAGGTTATTAACTAGTTAATCCATAACAGAGGATTAATTCACCAATTAGGTTAAAGCTCTTATAACCCAATCATTTCACCTCTGAAAATTCTTGCATTGTCTCACCCATGAGCTGTTTTTTTTTTTTTTCTTACAGCTTTGTGTTGTTAAGTAGTGGCCATACCATTACTCATATTTTCTGAATGTAAAAACAAGAGTCTTGGAAGCTGCTACAGCTTAATTAAAGGAAAACTGAAACAGAAGCCTAGAGCCTAGATTTTTTTTCTGACTCCCAGGCCCAGGCACTTCCTAAGACCCTACAATCTCTTGAGCCAATAGGATATTTGGTGAGATTTAGTCCCACCCGCCAGGATTTTTGTGCCTTACCATGTCTTCTACAACCTTCATCCTCTACAATGCATCCATTATTCCATGTAAATAACGGATCACAATGGACACCCATGTCCCAGGGTGTATGAATCCTCACAGGCGTCAATCCTCAATGGCCTAGGCGTCATTCCTCAGCCTCAGGAATGAGGACTCCGGGAGCCCTTACATGCCAGACATTGCCTGAGGCCCTGGGAATTCAACAGCTACCAACTCAGACAAATTATTTGCCTTTAGGGGGCTTACTGCATTCCACCAGCACTCTCAGTTTAATTGCAGAACAAAGCTCCCTTGGAATTTCAGGCAGCTCCTCTTCATGGTCAGAAGACTTTTGCAGGAAGCAGCCTTCTCAGGCAGTTTGCATCCTTCCAAGCTTACTGCTGCTTACCCAGTCGATCACCTAATCTCTTTTCCTTTTTATGCTTCCATTGTTTCCCTGTTAGACAGTACCATCCACACCCTCGCTGGGCATCTAAAGTCTCTCCCTGGGTGGCAACACTTGGTTATTTTCAAGGCTGATCTATATTTACCTACTTTCAGTTTTCTCTACCACCATAAAATATGAATGGATCAGCGCAGTCTGAGAATGAGAGATGGCCATGCACGTATAGCCTGCGGCGGACCCCAGAGCCCTTGCACCTGGGAGGAGAGAATGTGCAGCATTTCAAGTCCATCTGCTGTCATAATTAAGCATTCAAAGCCACATGCATGAAACCTTAACTTACAGGTCACATCATCATGAGTGAAATAAGGGTTGCTAATGCTAAACGACTGAGTTATGGAGATTTTATTGCTTCCGTTCTAACATTAATAAAACACAGGGCATACAAGAAAACAAAATGCCACTTGGCTTTCTTATTGTAATCAACAAGTCAGTACAAAGGAGACTGATTTTATTGAACTCGAGATAAATTGGAAGGAGGAAATCAACTTACCGGTATAGAACCATCTAAAATCTCCAGCTCTAGAAATAAATCTTTCTTTTCTTTTTTTGCAGAAAGTAAACCCCAAAAGGGTGTAACCTACCCATCAACTCTTACATATTCATCATCCAAAAGCCCAGATGCCAAAGCAGGCAAGTGTTCATTTGTGATTTAATCTAAACTTTCTGAGTTCGTAAACATAAGCAATATTGTGTTTTAGGAGATGGTGTCGAAATTAACATCTTAACTGGTCATGCCACACTGACTCTGGTGATATTTTACCCGATGCCAGAAGCATGGCACGGACATCAATGGGAGCAGACATCTGGGACTAAGGAGTGAAGGCTTAATTTTTTTTGTTTTTACAATTTGAGATTGTCCCTGCGTTTGTGTCATTTTTATTTGGAGTGACTGCTGCCTTGAATTTCACTGCATTGCTGCTTTAGAAGATGACATGACATTCTGTCTGGAAATGTTCCCTGGCAACTAAAAGGAAAAAAGCCAGATTTACTTAGTATGAAATGAAGGGAGGAAGCAAAGAGAATGAGGTGGCTTCTGTGATAACAGTGAGCAGCTAATCTAAACAACCCCAGCCAAAATACATTGTCTGTAGGACTGTGCCCACCCAGCTTCCATGGGAACAGCAAGACAAGGACAGGTAGACCTCAGGCCAAGGAATTCCTCTGTCCGTATTTCAGTGTTTAATCAAGAACTCATGTGCATGATCGTGGTCTGGGACCTGCCTTCTGGTGGGATTTGGTGTTTGCTCCCAGCAGCTTACAGGATGAGCTGATGTAGTTGAGGTTCTAGTCACGGATGTGGAGTGAACAGGTTTAAGAATGGCAGTGGAAGCTAGCATCTGCTGAGCACTCGCTGAATACCAGGCACTGTTCCAAGACCTTTACCTGATTGTTGTCTTTAATCACCCCAGACTACCATCTGCATGTACTATTCTTAGCCCTAATGTACAGTTTGAGAAAAATGCAGCACAGAGATGTTAAGTGATCTCGTTTTGCCAAACAGCTAGAAAGTAGCAGAGATGAGAGTTCAACCCAGACAGTCTGGCTCCAAAAACTCCTCCCTAAATCACTATCCTAGACTTTTCTTATTTTAATACCAGAATACAGAAACTCTCGATTTGACCAGCATTGACATACAAATAGGAATTTGTTGTTGTCTTCCTAGTTACTATATCTTTATATCATCTGTATCTTTAATGATGGTGGTGATCTAGATGTGGTTAGTTATAAGGATACAGCTCTTCTCCACCCCAATCTACAAGCTGCCAGTCTTATGGACCATTTCTGAGATATCACCTGTCCTTTTTGGGTGTGGACACAGGGAAGAGGAACAGATGACAGAGACATCTTTAAGAGGGGTGTCCTGTTGTCTCCCCTAGCCCACAACTTCTACTCACATAGTGATTTTCTGAGTAGTTGAAGTGTGTGGGGCACAGGGGTACTGTCCATCTGTCCTAGACCTTCTCATTGGGCCCCCACCCCTTTCTCCCACCCCTGGAAATCCACACTTGTACACAGCAGTGAAATAAGGGTTGCTATTTCTGGGCAGCCCCTGAACACGAGCTCTGGGAATTGTGGGGTTCCCTTTGATCCCCTTTGAGGTCTGAGAACTGTGGGATAGAGTGAGGTCACCTTCCTCTTCTTCACATTTAAGGACTGCTGGCCTAGGATACTCCAGGTGCCCTCTCGTCCCCTTCTTGAAGATCCTAGAGCAGAGTGAATCCCCATGTTCAAGTAAGCCCCTAACCTCAGGAACCACAGGTCAAGCACTTCCTCTTTTTACCCCAAAGGGTAGAGTATTTCTAGACTCCCAGGATACTCTCCTAAAAGCCTGCCAAGTCTGTTTCTGCAGCGTGTAAGCAGGGCCTGTGGCTGCTGAGCCTCAGGGAGAGGGCAGGAAGTGAGATGCCCAGCTCCCCCGCCCTGCACATAGATGAGTGACTCTTGCGGCACCTTCTTCTGTATGGGGAGGACAAAATATGAAGGAAGGGAGGGAATATTCTCTTGCCCTGAATACTGCACTCCCCACAACCTGGCTACCGAGCCCTCCCTCTTCTGGACCTTTCCTTCTGCTCACTGGCCTAGAGAGAGGAGGGGTTGGTGATTGCACAGATGGTACTGCAATGGCCCAGCGTAGGGAAAGTTCAGGGACACATCTTCTCATTTAGGAAGGGGTCATTCCGCCCTTCCAGCTCAATTCTAAAAAATGGGAAGGGTCTCACACAACCTCTATGATTCCTCTATGAACTGAGTACTTTCTCTAGTGCCACCTACGGTACAATAACCCCGGGACAGAGTACCAGTAACTTCCCCTTTTTCAGATAAGGAAACTGGCCCTTAGAGAGGTTCAGTAACTTGCCCAAGGGCATTGTCCTAACTGGCCCATACTCTGATTGTATCACCTGGTAACAGGTAAAGTTGTGGAGGGAGAGAGAGGAATTATAAACAAGGGATGCCTGGTGTTATAGAATGCATTTGGTTTCTATGTTCAGAGCAGAGATCATTTCCAAAAACTTTTCCATCTACCCCAGCACTGTGGCCAAGCTTAACACCATCCACTCCTAGCAAGTGCTTGTTCCCTATGTCTGTTGTTAACATTCCGAAGAAGTGCAGGTGGGCCTGGGTACTCATTTTGAAATTGGCTGCTCTGTAAATTCATAAACTAGCAAAAGCCAAAGTTAAAACAGGCATTGCTTTGTCACTTGTCCCTTTACCAAGCCATTTCAACTTTCTGTTTCAGTTTCACCGAGTATTACTATCAGCTCCTTATCACTAGATGACCAGTCTCAAGATTTACGTTCATCCCTTCATTCATTCACACAGTAACCCCATATTAAGCACCTGCAGTGTTCCAGACCCTGAGCTAAATAATAATAAGCATTTCAACCTAAAAGGGAGGCTTGGGGTCCTGCCTGGTTTCAAGATAGAGGGACCTCAGGCTTTTAAAAAAAAAAAATCATCTCATGCCCACCATGGAGTAGGTTTTTACCAATTCAAATAAAAAATTCCAGTGAGAATCACAAAAGAGTGCCCCTCGTGTTGCTGCTTTGCCTTAAACGATTAAATTCCTTTAGAAACTGGCTGCAGCAGAAGGGATGGAGACCATTCAGGACCCAGCATGCCCACGTAAAATGCTTCCTTGCCTCTCCAAGAATGTGAGTTAACAGGTAAATCAGGTTAGGACGACCCCCAAAAGCATAACAACCTTCTTCTGTGGAAAATTATCTCACTTGAAAAATAGAAGGCATCTTGATTTGCCTGGTGCAGCTCATGCTGAGGACAGACAGTACCTGAGATTTACATGCTGTTCCCCCAGGCAGTTAGCAAGCATCAGGCAGGCAACTGTTATTTGGCCAGAGCTTCCATCTACTCTGAGCTAAATAAAATCAGGTAAGTGTTCATTTGTAGAAATTTACAAAAATAAAAAATAAAAATAAAAATAAAAGGACACTCCTGGTACCATAGCAAGAAAAGGGAAAGTAAATCTTTATTTGAAGCTACTGAGCAAGACAGCCAGAAACTGCCCCACGCCCACCCCCTGCCCAGCTCCTCTGGCCAAATGCTAAGGCCCTCACCTGGAAGAAAGCCAAACTGAAGGTTATTGCAGTAAGTTTGACTTTCTAGGAACCTCTGCCCTCACTGCCCAAACCTACCCACTAAGGCCACTCCTCACCCTCTCATAGAAGACAATAGCTTTGTGAGATCTCAAAGGGCTCTGGGTCACCTCTAATGAAAACCACATCTAGGGATCCTAAACCTTCCCAAGACTTGACTCCCACTTTCTCCCCCTTCTATGGAAAAAGGAGGCAGGGAGGAGGCATCGACTTGGAATCAAATACATAGAGTCCAAATCTTGGCTCTGCTACCTATGTGTCCATGTGAGCCTAAATGCATTTCTTGACCTCTTGGAAAACTTGTTCCTTATCTCAAAAATAGGAATACTTCAATCAACTTCCTGGATCATGATAAATATTAAATGTGTATGTTTGTGTAAAAGAGGACTTTGAAATGTGGCGAATGGTAGGTGCTCAATGAATAGTGCATTTCCTGCCCTCATATCTAACCCTGAGGCATGGGATGAGTTAGTGATAGGAAGAACCAAATCTTCCCCCGGCACTCTTATCTCCAGACATTGCTGCTAAACCAGCTACTGGCTTCAGGCTTCTGACCTCCGTCTCCTTCACTTCACCTCATATCTGACACCTAGTGAGAACACTGTTTTCCACCAGCAGAGGGGGAGACTTAGTATGGGGATAAATGTCAGCTACTGCCCCTTATGGGATGTCTGCCATGTGTCAAGCATGGTGTGCATGTGCCCCCTATAGACTTGACCTCTAATTATGACAACAACCTTCCCAGGTAGGTATGACCATGCCCATGGCACAGCAAAAGGAACCAGGCTCAGAAAGCTATAGTGGCAGGGCTGGTAGGGAGAGCCCAGAGTGGAGCCTGGTCCTGGCTATGATTTCCAAATCAGAATCCCAGGCCCACCTCAGATTCAGTGAGTTGACATCTCTGTGAACAGCTCCCTAAAGTCTGCCTTCATAACACCTCCACAGTGACTCTGCTGAGGGGCCAGGTGTAGGAAGGAGCTCTCTGGGGCTGTTCTTGATTATGTCCAAAAGAATAGAACATTAAGAGTCTAAGGGAAGTTTTGAAAAGATTTCCCATGAACATCTTTGAAACTTTGAAGAGAGACCAAAGTATCTGAGATTATGTGGAAAGAAAAAAACTATTTTATGGGTTTTACTTCAAATTGCTCAAAAAGAATCTGGTTCCATGAAGAATTCCCTTTGGACCAGATTAAGCGCTGTGTTCGTAAGGCTGGAGCAGGGAAAGTGACTTTCTCTGTCTCTCTCTCTTAAAGCCAGTTCAGATCTGTGAAGGGGGGAAGGCAGAAACAGCTCATGGAAGACCGGAGAGATGGCCACATTGGTTGAATTTACAAAATGTTTGACAGCACCTGCGTCCTAAGTGCAGCAATGGCTGTCCCCAGGATATTTTACTTCTCTCTAGCAAACCATTATGAGCACACCAATAAAGATAGGGTATTCTAAAGCCTTGGAATTAGCCAATGGTGTACCAAAAAAAAAAAAAAAAGAAAATTTTTTGTTTTTAATATGCAATAACTTTTAAAATGTTCACTATTTGCTAGTTGAAGTTTTATTTTTAGTATACTGTAGATTAATTAAGTTTTTGAGTACCATCAGCTTATTTACATATTTCTCTTCAAATTAATTCTTATATCCTATTTCCTAAAGTGTACAAGCAATTCTGTTATATGGCTTTTCCCTGGATGAAGAAGGTTAAACCCGGGCCAGCATCTCCCTAAAGAGGCATCAATGCCTGTTAGCATTTTCCTGAGTGTAAGACAGGGGAATGTTCCGGAGAAAATAAACACTTCCCTAGACTTGTTCTGGAAGCTCAGACCCTTTAAGGTAATGGAAATGTCATAAATCAGGCAGGTTTGGTCCTGCTTGAGAATGGCCTGAAGACTAGAAGGCAAGCTGACCCCCCAAGGTGGCCTCCAACTCTTTAGTGACTTGTCTGGCACAGTGTACAGACAGATTTAAAGGAGACCAACTATTAGCAACCATCAAGGTGAATGAGGGAGTTGCTTCCTGCCTTGACTGGCTAATGCCTGCCAGAGTGGACTGAATGGCTGAATTCCAGGTTCACTCTTTGCTGACTGCCCTTCCTGGTCAGTGCTGGAATTCTCAAGAAAGTGACAGTGTCAGAGTGGAGAAAGGAGCAGGTGCTGGTGCCGGGCAATGGATCTGAACACCCACCAAAAGTTTGTCCACAGGACTATGGTTCTGACACTACTTTCCCAGGATGCTGTGCAATCTACAATGCTGAACAACAGTGAAGAGTGAGTGAGATGATTCCCACGAAGAGGGACATTTCTGACATTTTCATTACCTTGTCTGCCTGATTTATGACATTTCCATTACTCTTGTCTCAGATACAACCCCCCTTGGCCTACTGTTCCATGTACCAAAAAAGTGCTTCATCCCTAAGCAGAGTGAAGGCTGGAGCCAGGATACTGTGGCAGGACAAAATATGCTCTGCATTCCCCAAAGACCCTCGTCCTGACCACTGGAACCTGTGACTATTTTCTCATATGTTGTAATGTGATTGAGGATCTTGAGATGGCGAAATTACCCTGGAATACCTGGGTAGGCCCTAAAAGCCATCATATGCACACTTGTCAAGGGGAGGCAGAGGGAGATAATTCCATACCCATAAAGGAGAAGGTTATGTGAAGATGAGGCTGAGAAATAATTGAGGCTGCTAGGCTTGAAGAGGACAAAAGCCAAGGAAGGCCAGCCACCAGGTGAAACAGGACAAGGCAAGAAACACATTGAATCCTCTACCCTCCCTGAGGGAGCTCAGCACTGCAGATGCCTTGAATTTGGCCCACTGATACTGATTTTGGACTTCTGGCCTCCAGAACTTTGAGAGAATGAATTTGGTTTTGTAAGCCACCAAGTTTGAGATGTTTTCTTATAGCAGTCCTATAAGAAGCAGTCCTTATAAGCAGTCCTATAAGCAGACACCAAAGGTAGAGATACAGAAGCTGGCATACCCCACTGGGGCCCACAGGCACACAGAACTGTACCAGGACTGAGGTGCTATTGACCTTACAGGGCATCTTGTTCTAGGTTCTCAAGATAGTCCCCAATACTCAATGGGTAGCCACTTTTCCTCTTCCTCTGAACCTTCAGAGATCCCCTCAGGGCAACCAGATCACTAATGAACTGAGACTTGCTATATGGCAGAGCTTCAAATTGTGGAAGCATTCCAAGTCATCACAGTTTAGAAGACAAATCTAGATGCTCCTTTACCATGGAGTCAGTTCATTACCCGTTTTTATAGACCAGGAAACTGGGGCCCAGAGGAGTTAGTTAACTGGTAATGAACCAACTTAAACTAGAACAGCTAGAATGCAATCTCTAAGAGTAAGTCATAGAGTACACAAACCCTCTTCATGGTGCCTGGCAAATTAATTTGGCAACTAATCATGTTCTGCAATGTCTATGTTGCTATAGTGTTTAACTGTCAGTTAAGTATATTGTTGTTATTTGGTCTTTGGTTTGTTGGTTGGCCTATTGCTCTGAGATTGAACATTCCTTTAAGCAGGAATTGCAGGCTGTTTGTCTAGATTTCCCCCTGCACAGCAGCCAGCACAGGTCTCTGCTCATAGCGAGTGTTCAGTGAACATTTATTTGATTTCTAGTCCTCCAAGAGCCTATAGACTCTTGCAGGCCCTGGTATATAATTCCATTTCCTTACAGGCGAGACCACAAAAGCCTATCAAAGGCCATCTGCTGCAGGGACAACTGCACAGCCAGTCACCCTGATGCAGATTCTGGCTATGCCAGCAGCTGAGGTCACCCACGCCACATTGCCAAAGCCATTCCCATTTGCAACCTCTGCCACCAGCAGCCCCAGACCTCAGCCTGTGGGCCACGGGAGCTGGGAAATGGGTGAGTAGGTGAACCATGTGTTGCTGTGTACTAGAAGAGTAGGATTTGGGGTCTTCAGAGTAACAGCTCTTTCTGAACATTGATATGTAGGGCTCAGCCCCCACCTCTTCAGCCAGGCAAGTGGAGAGCAGCTGAGACCTGCACCAGGAGTTGGTATGTGGTTCTGTCTTCCCATAATCAAACTAGGACTATTTTTACAGTGCTTTCAAAGGTAGGATATTACATGAAACTGGCCTATTACAAAAACCCTAATTTCTCCAAAAGCTCTTTTAAAGGGATTCTTGGTTTCTATGTAACTATTGTTGGGTTACTGGTTTTTGGTGTGGTTTGGTTTGGTTTCGGTACTGGGGATTGAACCCAGGGTATATTGCCACTGAGCTACATTTCCAGCCTCTACCCCCCTCCTTTTTTTTTTTTTAAATTTTGATACAGGGTCTCACTAAGTAGCTGAGGCTGGCCTTGAACTTGCCATCTTCCTGCCTCAGTCTCTCCAATTGCTGAGAATATAGGCATGCACTACTGCACCTGGCTGGGTTTTGGTATTTTTAAGAGGCAAATGGTTTATAGCTGGAAGTCTTCAAATATTTGGGGGGGGGGGGGAATCTTGAGGAAGAGTCAAATAGTTGAAATTTTTTGTTCCTGTCCTAATTTCTTTTTATCTGACCACTTTTATCTGTTGCTTAAATCATGTTTTAGATTTTATCAAAGAGCAGCATCACATCAACAGGGCCTTAAAACTCATCTGATAATCCAATCTCAAGTTTCTACATAGGCTTACATCAGCACTGCTAATAGGTACCTATCTCATCTCAAAGAGTTTCTGGCGGGGGTTGGGGGATTCCACAGCTGGAATTCTATTGTCCTGAGAATTTTTTTTCCTGAGTATTTCCCACCAATGCCACTTTTTCCTTCTAGGAAGAAATCCCCAGAACTTGTTATTTTCAGCCTGACCTCAAGCTTCCAATCATGACTGCCGTGTAGCCTGGCCCTTCCCTGTTCCCTGGCAGACCCCCGCTGTCTATCCATCTTTTGATTTAACACAAGGTGAATCAACACTTTCAATGTGTTGGGCACTTTTCCAAGCAACTTACAGAATAACCTATGGAATCCTTAGCAACCTGTAAAGTAAATATATTACTTCTTAATTGAAGTATTAACTGTATTAATGAGGAAATCGAGGAATAGGGTAGTTAGGAAACTGGCCCCAAGTCACAGGGCAAAGAATAGCGAAGCAGGAATTCAAAGTCCAGCAGCCTGGGTCCCCTCTGATTCCCCTTGCTGGAGGAGGCATCCCAAACACCAGGGCCCAGGCAGAGCACACCTGGACATGATGGGATGTCCAGATTAGAGAGTGCTAGACCTGCCCAACTTCTTTGGCAACTAATAAATGGCAGGATGCACACTGTCCATACATTCCAAGGGCCAGGCACACTGCTTACATTGTTTTAGTCTTCTCAACAACTCTATGAGACAGGGATTATTATGATTCTATTTTATAGAAGACTCGTGGAAAAAGCTGTGGTATAAAGTTTCCAAATCAGAATATCATAAAAATAATTTTTGAAGTTTTGAAATATACCAGACAACACCTACCCACCATCTTATTGTGACTTAATTGAGGCAACAAAAGCAAAAGAGAAATAGAAAGGAGGCCAGGTGACCCAAGGCTAACAGAGGTCCCATAGCTAGTTTTTCTTTTTATAATTTCAGGCTCTTGACTTTAGAGTCCTTAATGCTTTCAAAAATGTCTGGGTATCTGAATAAGCTGTTCCTGTGCCTCTTAGAGGATGTCAATTCTTACATAACACATATAATTAAACATGTGGCATATTTACTTGGCAACACTGGGAGCAAGTTGGGCTGGCCTTGTGGAAAATCTCAAGAAACTTGAAGTAGTGGCTCCCAGCCTGGCAAAGCTTCATTATTCCTGGCGTGGGACAGGAGCATTGGACATCAGCCTCCTAGCCCATCAATGTTCCTTCTTTGAACTTGCCCAGCACCCACTTTCATACTGACTACACACTGCTGGAAGAATCCTCAGAGCAAGCATGTGTGCATCATGCACCACGATGGTCAAGTTGTATTGCCTACTCAAAGAGTGTTCTGTAAGCATAAAAGTAGTAAAAAAAGAAAAAAAATGGGTGTTTAATGGGTGTTTTCAATGACTGCTTTATTGAGATACTGTTCTCATACCATAATTTTCTCACTTATTTTCAGTGTATATTTTTATAGAGTTGTGTGATCATCACTACAGTCAATTCTAGAACATTCTCATCTCCCCAAAAAACTCCACACCCGTGAACAGTCACTCACCATTTCCCCTAAACCACTCCCCCCAGCCCCAGGTTCATATTTGCTGTGATACTGTAGCCCAACTATATCAAATATTTAGTATTTAGATAATTCCCTTTTTTGCTTCAAATGAGTTGAAAATACTTTACCAATGATAAGAAATTTCGTCAAGCTTCTGATAGTGAGTTGCTGTTATTGTATTTATTAAGAGATTTTTTTTCATATGTGTGTGTGTGTGTGTCTGCAGTCAAAAGGATCTAAAAATGGTTGTGGATGGATTACTCAAGCAAATCTTTGTTTACTTATTCACTTAAGAAATATTTATTGGGGCTGGGGTTGTGGCTCAGCCGTATAGCGCTCACCTAGCACATGTGAGACACTGGGTTTGATCCTCAGCACCACACAAAAATAAATAAATTAAATAAAAGTGTGTGTGTGTGTGTGTGTGTGTATGAAAGAAATATTTATTGAGCAAGGCATGGAGACACATGACTAATCTCAGTGACTCAAGAGGCTGAGGCAGGAAGATTGCAAGTTCCAGGCCAGCCTCAGCAACTTAGCAAGACACTGTCTCAAATTTTAAAAAAACATAAAAAGGGCTGGGGATGTAGTTCAGTGAGTGCCCCTGGGTTTAATCCCCAGTACCTGAGAGAGAGAGAGAGATGTTGAATGTTTGTTCTAGGACATTGGGCACATCCCACTAAGATATCTGCAGCAAGTCACATCAGCTTAAGACACCTGACAAGTGTGTAGCTAGAACAGGAGCTACCTGAGTTTAAGATCTGTGAGTCATTTTTGCCCTACGATAGGTCAAAAGCAGCCTCTCATCAAGACATGTAAACTTGGAAGGAGGCTGGTAGAGAGTAGAAACTTGGAAGCCGATGGACGGGGGCTCTCCTAGCTCAAGAAGTGAAGCCAAACTAAATGGAATGTCTCAAAAAAAAAAAAAAGAAAGAGAGAGAAAAGAAAAAGTGAGACTGAGACTCAAAAAGTCAAAGGTCATATGTTTTCTCTTGTATGTGGCAGCTAGAGTGAAAAATGTGAAAAGGCTTGGGGGCATCTCATGAAAATAGAAGGAAGGCAACAGAGGAAAGGAAGGGGATCGTGGGCAGGAAGGAAGAGAGGGGGAGAGGAGGTATCAGGGAATGAAACCAACCAAATTATGTTCTGTGCATGTACAGATACATCACAGGGAATCCCACTATTATGTGTAATTATAATGCACCAATTTTTAAAAAATTTAAAGGTGAGGCTGGACACATTGCAGCCACTTCACTGACCCATGAATATGCAAACCAAACAAAAGAGAAAGAGTAAGGGAGCCAAGAGCCAGGGTGACAGAGACTTCTTACAGGGGCAGAACTGAGGCTGTTCCTCCTGGGAGAGGTCAAGGATGGAACTGGTATCCCTGGAAGCCAAACAGCCACCATGCTGCATCCCAGAGCCAGAGGGAGCAGCCTAAAAAGCAGATCCAAAGTTATGCTTAGGAAAGAGTTCTGGGAAATATAGAAAGTCCCTCCAGGCCCCCCTGTAGGGTCAGGTGAACACTTCACAGGCTTAGAAGGTGGAGTGGCTGCCCTTTAAGTACTGTTTTTCCATTTCAAGACCTGCGTGCCTAGGTTGCCTCAGCTGATCTAGCCAGTCTATCCCAACCACCAATATACCAGAAAGGGGAGGAAGAGTGCAGCCTAGTGGCAAAGCACTGCAATGGCATGACCCTTTGTTCCACCCGCTGGACAAGGGCAACCAAGAAGAGCAAACCAGGAAATTGGGAAAGGGAGAGCCTAGTCCTTCCACATACTATTTCCCTTCTCACCGACATTTCTCTCACCTGTGAAATTTATTTTCCCCAAAGTGTCTGGAGAAAGTTTTTCTTAAAATCCAGTCTTTCAAAAGTAAGGGGGGGAAAAAAAACAAAAATAAGCATTTCAAAAGAAAAATGGGGAAAGGTCATGGCCAGGCAAACTTCAGTAGAACTGCAAATGGCTCCTAAATGTATTTTTTAAAAGATGTTCAACCTTCACTAAGAACCAAATGAGTGCAAATTAAATAGCAAAATGCCACTCTTCCCTCAATTTGCACTACAAACTGATAATCCACAGCTTGCTGCAGAGTGTGGAGAAATGACCCCATAGTCACACTTCCAAAAATATGATATCCTAAGGTAATTATTAGCCAAGGGTGAAAAGAATCATGGACACAGATGTTGTTCATAATAGAAAAATAAATGGAGATGATTTAATTATCCATCATTAGAAGCTCGGTTAAAGTTACCACACAGCTGTGAAAATGTTGCTGCAAATGTGCGCATACTGACATGAAAAGTCTGCTCTATCCAGAATGTTCAGTCAAGGAAGCAGGAGACAAGGCAACATGGGGGTCCCTCTCCCATTCTTGTAAATGTGTGTTGGAGGTGAGAATGAAGGCAGAGAAAAAAACTCTACATACCAAAATTGTATGCCAGAAACTGCTGGAGAGAGAATAAAAGAGGATTTCTTACTATGCATAGTACATAATTTTTTTACAACAAGCCTATCTTATCTTTATGATTAGAAAACAAAACAAAACTACTTTGACTTCATGTCAAATCATTGGAACAAAAACAAACAAAAAAAGAGTCAAATTTTTGATTGTGGATAGATCCAGTTCTAAGAGAAATTGATATTTTTCCCTGACCTCTTCTATCTTTCTGTCTATAAAACATGGTTGTTTCCCTCTGCGGGCTCTTACGTGGCCTCCTTTTCCACAACAGGGGCTTTGCATTTCTCTTTATAGAATCCTTCATCTCCCTACTCCCTTTTAAAATCTTGCTTCAGAGAAACTGCCCAATAAATAATGAGTGCTGAAGTATATTTGATTCTCTCATGGAGTAATTAAGGATAACCATTGTGTACCGCTAAAAATGACTGGAAGCTAATGCTATTTGCATCAATACCATGTTAATGCAGTTTAGGCAAATTGCTAAATGTTAAGTGACATTTCTATTGAAGGATTACTTTAACCTCCCCACAAGTGGCACAGTCGAGAATTATTTTAAGAATAAAGGATAAATAAATATGGCACTTTAGTAAAAGAAACTTACTTTGACAAGTGTAAAATACAAGGGTTATTAGTACCTGGAATTTCCAGTCAGTGTTTTGAGCTAAATCCATTTTCTTCTTCTTTTTTTTTTCCCCCCATTTCAATGTCTCCTGCAGGGCAGGTTCAGACCGCCCAAGGAGCCCAAGGACAAGGCTTTTCCTTGGTTCCTACCTTGTAATGTCTTGCTAGGCTGGCTCATGGAAAGAATGAGAACAGTTAGATTAAAATTCATGCTCTGACCAGTCCAATGTGATTACAGATCTCTGGCCAACCCCCCCCCCCCCCCCCTCCCCCCCTCTCCCCCACACTCTCACACACACCCCCACACACACACACACGCAGACAAAACAGTCATGGGGCAAAGCCAGGTAGGAACCTGAGCTGTCTTTCTAGCTGCTTCTTTACAGGGGGATTCTTCATTTCCAAATCCTCGCCTTTTCATTTAGAGTGGGACAGAGTATTGAACCAAATGGCCCACTAGAAGATATCGTAGGGAAAGTGAGGACGTTGTTAAATAAACAAGGCCTTTCCCCAGTCTCCTTCCCTTGAGGTGATTTCATGCAGGGTATTTTAGAAAACCCTAAGGATCCCTAACCAGGCTCTTACAAAACCTGAAAAGGGATACTCTATGGGCTTTATGCTTGAGGAACTCTGTTAAAATGGTAAGGCAAGCGCAGAGCCAGTTGTGCTTGGGTACTTCTCTAATACAGGGATAGATGGGGCTGGGGGTGTAACTCAGTGGTACAGCATTTGCCTGGGACATGCAAGGCCCTGGATTTAATGCTGGGAGCGGGGAGCGAATAAAGGGATAGAAACACATTCTCTCTACTTCAGGAATTTCCCTCTGAATTGTGACACCTAGGCTAACTTCTCTTTGCTTCTGGGAGTTCTTCAGTGGTTTGACCCTAGAACTGGAAATGCAGCAAATTCTCTTCCTTGCAACACTGGAGAGGACTGCACAGATTCAGAAAGGAAACAGCAGGATCACAGACTCTGCTCAGGACCTGTGCTAGGCACTGAGTTCACAGGGCAGTAGGATCAGGATCCAGGCCTACAATAGAGAAGAGTTCAGTCTTCTTCCTCTGGGGATAGTCATCTGCTCTCCACATGGTAAAAGAGTCCTAGAAATCATAGGCTCTGTTTTATATATATATATATATATATATATAAAATGTGAACAGGGGCTCCCTGGGTTCTCTGGTAAGGGCTAGCAACATTCATGGACTTCACAATGGTGTGCTTAAACAGGCTTAGGAATCAGAACACTGGCCAGGGCAAGAACTCCAAGACCATCTGAGACCTCAACAGGCCCATGGGACAGTTTGGAAGACCAAGCCAGGGTATTTTCTTCTCTTGTTTCCTTGACCAGGATTTCTGCTTCCTCTGCAACAACCAAAAGTGAGCCTACCACAGAGCATTCAGCAGATTGCAAAGAAAATCTGAACTAGGGTCACTGTCATTAGGGAGCAAAGTAAGGGAAGAAAGCAGTTGCTGGCTGCATGTAAAAATCAGCTGACCTTGTGTCAATCCCCTCAGGTACCCCAAAACAGGATTCTCCTGGAGCTGCCTTCCAGGAACCCATGGAAGCAGATGTCGGCCTCGGTAAGCCAACCACTGCCTACCATCCCCCCACTCTAGAAACTTGCTCTGCAGTATTTGCACATATGGATCTCCCACACCCATTCTTGGCATCTGCAGCTCAACTCCAGGTCGCCAGAGTTTGGGGACATGCCAAGTTATTTTCCTTGAAAAAAATGTCTGCTTTGTCTGTTCTCGGCGCATCATACAGAACATCTCTACCAACCCAGATGCCCAAGGTCTCTTATTGTCTTATGTCCCCTTACCAGGTTCCCCACCTAAGCAGCCTCTGTACTCCCTGGCACATCCCCAGGCTGGGCTCTGGAATAAAACACAAATATGCAGACACACCACGTGAATCAGTCTGCATAGGTGGTGGCCACAAACACAACCTCCATCTCCCATTTCTAACTCACAACCTTTAGGTTGTTTCAAGGCTGTATTCTGCCAAACGTACTTGACTCCACTCCCTTTTTTCCAGTTTCCTCATCCTCGCTCTGTTTCACCTGAGTCTGCTTCTTCTCCAATCCTCATCATGCTCCCAGTAATTACACTCAGTCTCCTTGACCCACTCGAGGTTCTTAGTTCCCTTTTTACCCTCCTCCAGTCCTTCCCATTTCCCATGTTCCTCCCCTCCTCACCATCATCCCTACATATTTTCTCTGAGCATCTCAGACTCTCCTGTGAATTCCAAGAGTGTCCTTGCCTTGGAGAACTCTCCTAGCAGGAAGGTGCTCAGACTTAAACTAGTCATGAAAACCCTTATTCTTAACTAATTAGTCCATCGTTCCTAATTTGTCTAAACCAGTGGTTCTCAGACTGTGCTACAAGGACCCTACTTTCAGGGATTCTGTGGGGTCCTCCTTTTGACTACATCTGCATGAGGACAGATCTCCTTCATATACTTCAACAACAACAGTATATCACGACAGGTTGCAGATGTTGATATCAGATTCCAGCTGTCTTCTATTATGACATACATTGAAGAAATTAGCCATTCATTTCATTGAATGCTTCTGTTTTGGAAAACAGCCTCTTTTTCCATAAAAAAATGAGATTTATGATAAAATATAAAAGGTTATTTTTAATGAATTAATAGTTAAATACATTGTTAGTCTATACTTTATTTCAAATGAGAGAAGTCACAGTTTTAATTTCTAAATAATAAAAATCAATACATATAGCCCACAAAAAAGGGGGATCTTCAATAATTTCTAAGAGCACAGAGAGACTGAAACTGAGAATCTCTCAAATTTGAGAGCCTTTCAAATACATAAAACTAGACTTTATGTCTTCCTTTATGTCTCATCTTTTCCAGAATAAATTTCTCCATTCCCTCCAACAGGCCCTTACATGACTTGGCAGAACATGCTTTAACTATGCTGTAGCCTGCAAATGATTCGTGAAACAGGGCACCCAGAGCAGAGCACAATGTTTGTGTGCCAAAGAACTGCTCTCCCCCTAAAACATCTCAGGATCCACTTGGGGGGAGCTCTGTCTCAGCCTTGGCTTATCTTTTTCTGAGCATGTAATTAATAAAGTCCTTAGGATTTTCTGTCTTCTTCTTTAGAAGCAGATGACCCCAAACTCATCTTCGTACAATTGATTTTGTGAACTCAAGTTGGACTATCACACCTGATACCCTGCAGTGGCCTGGAAACCTAACCATGGAATTAATGTTGCTTCCATGAGAAAAGGTTACCAGGTCCCAAATAAACATCCCACACTGAGTCTTAGAGAGTAATTCACTTAAAAACCAAGGACTATTGATGCTTTGCTGGTATAAGGGCTTGATCCAGAACCTCAGACTGTCCCCAGTCTTCTCTGAAAGTCCCTATGCAATGGGTTGCTGGTATGGCAATGCCTTGGGCACAGCTGTAGGGCTCTGCTCTCTCATGCTTCCCATTTCAGTGCAGTGAGAGGAAATTTTTCAAGGGAAAGGTGCAGACCTCAGGACATGAAGCCAGGGGAGGGAAGAAAGGCCTGAAGGTCCTCTACCTCAAGAAGCCTCCTGTCTTTCAGATTTCTACCTTCTTCTCAAACTGTACCCTAGCTGGGAACAGTGCTGTGTGCTTGTAATCCCAGTGACTCGGGAGGCAGAGGAAGGAAGGTCAAAGCTAGCTTCAGCAACCTAGCAACTTAGTGAGATCCTGTGTCAGAATCAAAAAGGGCTAAAGTGGCCTGGTGCTTGAGCACCCCTTAGTTCAATCCTTATTACAAAATAATAATAATAATAATAATAATAATAATAATAATAATAATAATAATAATAAAAACCATACCCCAGGGGACCCAGTGGGGAAGAATGTGGAAGCTGAAGGGCCACCAGGGCTTGTCTCATAAAAGCCCTAAGGGGCCATATGTTGTAACTCCCACTTGGGTCCTGTTCTGGTGACTTCCAGCATGGGGAACAGAAGGAACTAAAACCAGTACAAAGTTCATTGCTAGGTTCTGAGGACCAGGGTTGGTTCCAGGCCCTTTTGAAGACTTAATCACCTTAGTGGGAGCTACAAGTGGCTGTGGCAGGCCTAGCTCTTCAGTGGTCTAACCGAGTACCCCGAGATGCTGAAGCCAATGACTCCTCCTCATCTGTGATTAACAGGTGGTGGTTAAATGCAAGCCCTCAGCTGCTCACCCCTCAGCTCTGCCTTTCCCTGAGCATCAGTGTCCTCTCCAATAAGACAGGGATCTTAGTTGTACCTAACTCATAGGGTCATCGTGATCTAACACTTATTCAGTGTGTGTGCCTCCCACCGAGCAAGCTCTGGATAAATGTTAGTGGTTTCTGCATTTTTACCATGGAAATTGCTCAGAATCAACACTTTTCTTAGATTTGAATATGTCATGGTATGGCCAAGTGAGGATTGTCACAAAAATAATTCCCTGGGTTTTCTGTTTCTTTCTTTTTTTTTTTTTTTAAGAGGGACTTATACTTTTATACTTTTTAGAGTGATTTTATGCTCATTGATGTCCTCTGAGTCTCCTCCATGGGATAGGAAAGGACGGGTCTTTATGACCTCAGAAGAAAATCACAGGTGAACTGTAGAGGTGGGGTGAACCAGGCCCAGCCTGGGATTGGCAGACCCTGGAAGGGTCTTCTGACTTCTATTTTCCCATACCACCCTGTTCCTCCTTGATGCCAGAACTCAAATATTCCCACAAATTTACTTGTTATTACTACCAAGTCCAAAAATCACCAAGTCTCAGCTGTCCAAATATTTTTTAGCCCTCAGCTTTTAGATGAAGGTGATTTGGTTCAAACTTGTCCCAAACAAGACAAAAGTAGCATTAATGGAAAGACAGTTTTCCAGAAGAAGTAGGAGACTTGGAAATCCCTGATGTCAGGGTTTTTTTACCTCCTGATAAAATATTAGAGCACCCAGAATTATAAATTCTAATCTTCATGACATTTAAAGAAAGGGGGCTTGAGAAAAGACAGAGGCTACCAGCACCAATTTTTAGGAAAAGAGCAGTGTATCTCTTCACCAGTAGGTGGCAATAGAGTAATAAAGCTAAAGAAGCAAGAGTATTTAAATCATAAATATTTTGAACGTGGAGTCCATCTCATCCACCCTGCTAATGTTATTTACTAAGAAATTAAGGTCCACAACAGAAGGTACATGACTTGCTCAAGGCCACACACCTGGGTAATGACTGAGTCCAGTTAAACAGGTCTCACCATGAAACTAGAATGTGCAAAACAAATTGCCCTTCAGAATTGCCCGGCATCTTAATCACATACTGAAAAAAGATTTCTTCTTTTGAGTGTGTTAATGACTTCAGCCAGATGGAAAGTAAATAGGCTTTAAGAAATGAAGCACTTGATCATGCGGCTCAGCCTTCTAATAGAGGAAAAGAGACAGAGCTGGGGCCGGGGAACAGCAATCTTTGTGTTCTTATGAGGTTCCCTGACATGTTTGTGTTGCCTCTGAGCCTCTCTCAACAACAGTGCCCCCAAATGGATCAAGGGTTATTTGGTAAGAATCGCCCCCTCCCCTCTACCCTTTCTGCGTCATCAGCAGATGGTGGTGAAAGACAGTGAACATCTTGTCCCATGTAGAATCCAGGTGCCAAGTTGCTTTATTCCGCTTAAGGCACACAAGTAAGGAGCTGAAACTCAAAAAAACAAGTGAACTAACTGCCTGCTCCCTGAAGGGCCTGATTAGCTCTGTGTAGTTCTAAGGAAGAGAATTCAAACAGGTGGGACAGATGTACTTAAAATATTAAGCACATACTGAGTGCTTAATAAGTATGGGGTGGGGTGAATGGATGAATTGATAGATGGAAAAAGATTCAAGTCAAAAGGTTTCAGATTGCTACATTGAATTTTTTTCTCACAGTCTCAATAATCCAAGAAAGAATAAACATAATCCTACTTTTATTGGCTATATCATGAGTTTCCTGTCTCTGGAGATATTAAAGCACCAACCAGCCAGTTACTTGACAGGGATGTTGTAGGAGCAGGCTGAGAGGGTGCTTTGGACTAGATGAGCTTCTAAGGTCCTTTAGAATCCTAGGATTTCTGTTCCATTATTCTTGGTGTCCAAAGAAAGAAAAGAAAGAGATGGTGATGTTTATGCCTTTGGCTTCCAGAGCTTGAGATGAGATAATCACACACATTTCAGGTTGCTTCATCAAAAATTCTGATGCCACGCTCCTTCACTCATCTTTCTGCCAAAATTGGGGAACATCATCCCGGCCGTTCACTTGAGTGTTTTTGCTGGGTTGGTTTGAATAACAAGTTTGTTTCTTTTTAATTTTGAAAATCAGGAGAAATGGACTTATGGAAGCCTGGACCAGTCCTTTTAGATGCAGGTAATTCTACAGACCAACCTCTCTGCATGGCTGTATGGAGACACAGGATTACAGAACATGGAGGGTCTAGGAATCCAGCTGGTGGCAGCCTTTGTAATGGCCTCCACCTGGGACATTGAGGTCCTGTGGAGGACACTAAAACCTCAACTAGGAAGGCCTGGAGTAAGGGGCTAAGAAAAGAAAGGAAATACATAGACAAAAAGCCAGAAGGGAATTGGTTCCCCACTCCAAAATGCATTCAGACCCTCATTCCCTCCCGATCACACCTTGTCAGGTTTTCCCCTCACCTGAGTGGGTGTTGTTGTTTACTGCACTGAATGTTTGAAACTCCCACAAACAGAGCCTTCCAGCTCTCTTGGAAGATGTTACTGATAGAATCAGGTGGAGAGGACTCTATCCCTGAACTTGTTTTTCTCCCCCTCCCTACCAAGTAGAGCCTTGGGGTGTTTCCCCGAGAGATTTTTTTTTCTGGCAGAGAAATGCTGTTAAACACCCAAGGAGAAAATTTTAAATGATGTGAAGATGTAGGGTGAGCTAGCTGACCTTTAATGGGAAGATGAAATCATGTGCTTCGCAAACTGGAAAAAATAACGAGCCAGGAGAAAGCACACTGCAGCTAAGAGCAAGGGCAGAGACCAGCACCCTCCTCACGGGGCTTCCAGGCATCCTGGAAACAGGGAGACCCACTTCTGATGCTGTGCATTTGCTCTGCCTGGGAAACTCATTGGTCTCACCAAGCTTGAGAGAATTCCCATTTATTGCCTTTATTTCCTTGAATGGTATACTTGTGAATTTGGCTCCAAGTAAATGGCTCTAAAGAACCACCCCCACCTCTGCCAGAGTGAAACTCACCTTACATGCAGCCTCTCCAAGCAAGAACTTGTTTGTGTCTGTACCTCCAAACTTTTGGGTGGAGAGGATGCATCCTGCACCCTCTTATTTGAGTTGATTTTTTCTGAGCTCTTCCCCTCTAGTCTATATCCAACCACCTTTAGATTGCCCTCATGTGTCTTACTCATCTCTGTTTTTTGCCTCAATCACTACATGTTGATGGACGACCTACATGTGATGGTTTGTATAAGCCAGACACATTTCCTGACCTCAAGATGTTCAGAATTTTACAGAGGGATCATTTGTACTTGCAAAGTGCTTAATGCTTTCAGATAAGGAAACTAAGACTCAAATAGAATAAGTTAAAATAAGAGTAGATCTCAAGTCTCCTGATTTCAATCCTCTGCCCCAGCCCCCAACAGAGTACTATCTTTAGTAGGCTGTTGGTAAATATTAATTTACTCTTATTTTTCTCAGAATGGGGGGGTAGTGTAGAGAAGAGTTAGCTATCAGCCAAGCCCCTGAGCTGGGCATGAATATCCATTCTGTCCCTGTCTCTGGCATCAGGCCAGATGTTTCCTGTGCTGGTAAGTCACCAAAAGTTTTACTGTTCTTTCCAGGATTTATTCCAAAAGAAGAATTAAGCACACAGTCTTCGGAGCCAGTATCCCAGGGAGATCCAAGTAAGTTAATTGACAACTAGCAACCCATGACAGTTTTGACATTTGATCTGTTCTCTCTCTTCTCTACCTACTCACTCCCACCCAAACTTGCCTTTCTCCTACCATGGATCTATTTATCTCCTCTCTTCTGTCACTTTGTTCTAAGAAGAAAAGGAAACTTTTGAAAGATTTAAACAACTGTGTGCACGAGGGGGAGAGGATCCAGTTTTTTAAATATTGCTATGGCCACAAGGTGAAGAATAACAAGGAACTGGGGAGACAAGGATGAATGAGCGGAATGGACAGGCAGATCAGCAGGAGCTGTGGTATCATGGAGGTGATGGCAGCTGGCTTGGAATTGGGAGTCGTGATGGTGAGAAATGGGCAGATTCAAGAGATGTAGAAAAGGAAGAATCTATAGGGTTGGGGTGGAAATACGAGAGAGGGAACAGTTAAAAATGATCTGAATAACTAGGTAAATGGCATTGCAATGAGGAACACAGGATGGAGCGTGTTTGGAAGCTGGGAGATCATTTGTCTCTCCTCTGATTGTCCATGAGGCACTCAGCCTAAGAGATGATTACTCAGATCCAATATTTGACTAGAACAGCCCAGTCAAATATTTAGAGTTGGGGTTAGAGCAAGATGGCAACTGGGTAAGATCCTCTGGTGATCATGTTCTCATGGACACACCAAGTTGAACAGCTACACACACACCAAACTGCTTTCACAAGAGCTAAGGAACTCAGGTTACCACTTAGTACTCTGACCTTTTTTCTCAAAGAATAATCCTCCACCTACTCCTCCTCATCATCATCATCATGAATGTTTAATAGTTATTAAGATGCATGAGAATAAACAAAAGAAATTTAGAGTTGGAAGATAAAGAAATATGGTTCAAAACAGAAAATGTGACCAAGGGAGATAAGGAAGAAATAGAGGATTTGAACTTGAAGAACTGCATTAGGTGGAGAAGACACTAGAAAATACCAGGAAGGAGGGACCAGAGAAAGAGAAGAAAACCGGAAAGGTGTAATATCTTGAAAGTTACCAAAAGAAAGAACTTGCAGATTCCTCTAGAAAATCTCTACCAGTCAGCCACCAGTGGCCTGTGAATCTGTTCTGCTGCATGTGAGAACCACCTGAAAACATTTTTAAAATTAGAGATCCTGCTTTCTAAAGCCTCACCTACTATGTCAAACTCTCCATATACCTTGCTACTCCATGTGGAGTCTGGGGACCAGCATCATTGGCATCTCTCAGGAGCTTATAACAAGTGTATAATCTGAGACTCCACCCCAGACCTACTGATTCTACAAGTGATACCTGCAAGTGATCTCTTTGCACATTAGGACTTGAGAAGCACTACCCAGAGTGAGTCCAGGCATCATCATTTATGGAAACAGCATAAGCAACTCTGATACATACACGACTCTGATATGTATCCAGGGTTAAGAAACTCTGGCCTGATATATTGGACAATACGAAGCATTAATCTATGGAATTGTACCATGCAGAATTGGACCAAACAATTTTTAAAAATCATTGATTCCTGTAGACATTATATTTTACCTTTTCTTTCTTGTCCTCCAAACTCTGTTCTCTGTGATCATAAAAAATCATTCACTCTGAACATTCCACAGCCCAGTTCTACCCATCAGTCATCTTCAGATCAGCATGGTTTCATGTCAGTATGAGAAAGCCAGCAGGTCTTAACCAGCATTTGCCATAAGTTGGAACCATTGTCATTAAAACATCTTGGAAAAGGGGAGCAACCTTTCCCAAGCATCAACTCTGTATCCACCCTCAGGCCAGGGAAGTAGAGAACTAAGCAAATAGAGAAATATGACACTTCCGTAACACCTAACTATGAAATGACTGTGTCATCCTGTACATAGCTCAAGATGTTAAAAAAAATAAAATAAGAAGGGAAAATTATCATGTACTTTCTTCTTTTAAAATAAATGGAAGAAATTCCCCTTTAGCCCTTATTCTCACTGTTGTTTTAAGTTATTTTAAAAGGCATATCAAACTAATCTGCTGACATCGGAAGAAAAATCCCTGTTGAGGAGTGTTCTCAAACTTTACTGTGTCCATGAATCACTTAGGGATCTTATTGAAATGCAGATCTGATTCTGTAGATTTGAATGGAGTGTCCGAAGGTCCACATTTCTAACCAACCCTCCATGTTGGTGGGCGGCAAGCCCTGAAGAACACCACTGCCACCTTCTGGCAATAATTTACATTGCAAGGTTTACCTAGGAAAGTGAGTTGGCCCTGTTGGAGGAAAAAACAGATGAGAAGCTGCACAGCAGTACTACTTCACTTTATCCCAGGATTTAGTGATATCTTTAAATTCTACATCTGACTTTATTTACTTCTTCTAATCTTCATCTCAAAGATCATGTTTGGATATAGGCAGTTTGAGGGGCAGCAGAGGACAGGGGAAGCCAGCTGATCAGAAGTATTGATAGGCCTTGAACATCCAGTGCAGGCAGACCAGAGAGGAAAGTTTTGAGATCTGTAGATGAGCCAGGGCACAGACCGGTGCCCTGCTTCCAGATGGAACAGAGGCAGACAGACCCAGAGAGGTCCCTGTCATCTCCTCCTTCTCAAAATCATCTCTAGGTTTGGCTGTCATGCAGTCACTGCAAGATAATAAAACACATTCTCAGATATAACTTTCCTCTTTCATCCATAGACTGCAGTGTCACCCATCCATAGATATTCACATCAATTCTCCTACCTGAAACTCAACTCATGTTCACTTACTGCTTCCATTTCAAATAACAACAAACCTGCTTATGGAGCCTCTCTTCCTAGAGATGGGAAGACTGCAGTCCCACAGCAGCATATGGTGTACAGAACATGGGCAATCACGCACATCTGAGGGAGATGCAGGCTTGCGTGGGCGACTGATCCCCACCCACAAGGACAGTATGAGTCTCCATGTTCTCTTGGATATTCCAGCCCAGAAATTCCTTTCTCTCTCTCTCTTTTTTTCTTTATATGGAACTCTGTTTTGAAATATTTTTGTCTCCCAAACTGCAATTGTTTAATAATTCATTCTTCATTTTTTTAAAATCATAGGGATATACAGCTCCCAATAAGAACCTCTGGTCAGTGTTGAATAATCAACTTTATCATACTGAGATGATAATGGAGAGTTTAAAAAAACACACACTCTAATTTCTGATATCCTGTGTGGCTTTTCACTGATTCCTATTAGCATTAGAAAAGTTGAAAATAGCTTACAACCCCACCATTGCCTCTACCTGTATCATAACTTTTATCTATGTAGTGTCCCCCTGTTCCCATCATTTCACTTTCTATGATTTCAGCTACCCACAATCAACCATGGCCCAAAATATTAAATGGAAAATTCCAGAAATAAGCAATCCATGAGGTTTTTGTTTGTTTGGTACTGGGGATTGAACTCAGGGCCTTATGCATGTAAGGCAAGCACTCTACCAACTGAGGTATATCCCCTGCCCTAAAGTAAATTTTAGCACAGCCTATTGTTATAGCTTTTCTGTTTTATTCTTGCAAATTTCTTACTGTGCCTAATTTATAAATTTAACCATAGCATAGGTATGTGCATACAGGGAGAAATGCAGTATATATAAGTATCAGTGCTATCTGTGGTTTCAGGCATCTTCTTGAGGTCCTGAAACATGCCCCATGTAGAGACAAGGAAGGACCACTGTATCTGCAGAGGTCCAGAAATCCTAAGCCAGGACAACTACCCCCGTCTTTTCACAATTAAAGGGAAAAAAATACATAATCATAAACAAGTGCTGATATCATATAGGTAGATATGGATAATTCCTTTGGTTACTTCATCTGGGGAAGCAGGTTAGTATCTACTTCTTATCCTGCAGTTCCTACTGTCTGCTTAGCACTGGGCTTCGGGTTCTTTCACACTTTTATAAAGACCTGACACATATTTCAAAAAAGTTAAGATGAAAGTAAAAGGCCACAAGTTTTTCAGACTCAGTTTTGGTGAATTCCCATGTCTGAGAGTCTGCATTTCTATGATCTGAGCCTGGGAATCCACTCTGAGGGTTTTCCCAAGCTAGATAGAGGTATCACTATCTGATCCAGAGAGTTCTAAAACAGTTATGGAAACAAGTGTGAGCACATGTATCCAGGACCTGGTGTTCAGGGCAATTGTCAGGAGATAGAGAAATGAGTACATCTGCACCACTACCTCTTTTCCACTCTCTTCTCCTTGAAATCCCATGGGCTAGCAGAGAAAGAAAGGAACACAAACCCCAGGTAGATACAATGGGAGAGAACCAGAATAATAGAGTCTTTTTTATTCCTCAGACTGCAAAGTAGACTTGTCATTTTTAATTGATGGGAGCTCCGGCATTGGCAAACGTCGATTCCAAATCCAGAAGCAATTCCTGGCTGACATCGCCCAGGCCCTTGACATTGGCCCTGCTGGTCCTCTGATGGGTGTGGTTCAGTATGGGTAAGTGCAGTGAATGTTCTGAATCCAGAGGCCAAGTGATGCTGCATGCTTAAGTCACCAGTGCCAACATGTCAGAGCATAGATTTGTCCTCTTCCCTAATGCAAGTGTAAATGAAAAACAGAAGCCTTTGGTATGCTATTTAAGAAATCTTAGCTTTCCTGAAGGGAAGGAGAGGCTAATAAATGTTTGTGAGTAAATAGAATTTGCACTCATGATTCATAGAATATTTATTTGGAAAAGGAGAGCTCAGTACAAGTCTCAGCCTCTAACAAACTCATGTGGCCTTTGGCTAGCCTTTGCCTCTCTGTTCTTCTGTAGATGAGGAAGGTTAAGTCTTCTTTTAACCTTAACAATTGGAAATTTGTTTGAGGGGCTGCACCCTGAGCTATAGTCTATCCACCTGTAGGTAAGACCTAGAGGGCAGGTGCTTCTGGTTGCACTTTTTCTTTTCTCCATATCACCCTGGGGCTCTGCACTGATACCAGAAAAGCTCACCAGGCAATGGGGAAGGACAAGAGTGGAGAGCTATGGCCCCATCACTCAGCTGATCATGGAGGTGACTGTCCCCAATCTGCTTTATTATTTTACTTAGAAATTAAGGAGTCATATTATCATTCCAAACTCAACCTTCTTTTCTGTTGTTTAGGATAATAAATGAATCTTAATTTAAATATGAAGAGGTTTCTCCCTAAAACAGATATACAGATATTGACAGATCATGAACAATCAAGGGAGAGAACATGCATCAATCCAAGATTCACATTTCAAATAGGCAGTCATTTGATGAGCAGTTATTGAGAGCAAGATAATTATCATGCCTTCCACAAAGGACCTTTGGGCACCACATGGTGACCTTCCCCCTACTCCCACCCCCACACCCAGATCTGCAGTTTAGCCCTTGGAAATGGAAAATAACAAAGGCTTTGATGCTTCTTGCCCCAAAGCTCTAGCCACAGCTTCTTCAGGCCTGAAAAGTAAAAGCTTCCATGCCTCACAGCACCCAAAGGGACCCCAGACCCTTCAGAGGTTTCTGGAAAACATTTTAAATGAAGATGTGTATCAAAGACATTAGGATATTTATTTTCAGGCTATCAAGAAAAATAAACAAAAGTGCTTTAAAAGAAAAACTACAAGGTTTATATTTTTAGAATTAAATTTCAATAGCACATTTAGTTCTATCTTCTGTTCCTATCAGGAAAAATTAGTTAACTGGCATTAATATGTAGTCAATTATCTAAAAATAACTAATTGCTGCAAATGCTACCTCTTGATGTCAAATGATCTATCTTGAGGCTCTTGACTTGAAATAAGAAAAGAAGGGTTTGGGGGAAGGGTATTTTTGTTGTTGATGTTGTTTTCTTGTTTTCAAAATGCCAAACTATTTTCATCCCAGTATTACGTTTTAAGATAGAAAATAGATATCAGGCTTTTCCATAGGGAGATAATGTAAGTATTTTAACGACAGATGTCCCTAGTCAATTCTTCTTGGGAGGTTCAAAGCTTCATGTGTTATCTTGCATTAAAAAATTGATGCTTTAAAAGCTTGTATATCGCAAAATTTATAGTATGGTATGAAAATAAGGTGCTGAATATGTCAAGGAAAAGAAAAATAGCGTAAGGAGAATGTTGTGTGCAAATGAGAATGTGAATTAAAGAGCAAACATGGCAGAGAAGGAAAACCAGAAGTTTCCTTCTCCCCTGCTGTGATTTGAATGTGCCCCCAGTTCATGTGTGGGGAACTTAATCCCCAATGCAGCAGCACTAGGAGGTGTGACTTTTAAGAGGTGAATAGGAATGGATTAATGCATTATCCACAGAGCCAATTAATTATCAAAAGGGTGGGGTTGTTACAGAAGCAAATTTGTTGGGTCCCCCCTTACTCTTGCCCTTGCTCTCTTGAACTGTCTTACCCTTCCGCCTTCCACCATGGGATGATACAGCACAAAGGCTCTAGCCAGATATGGGCTTGTCAAGTTTGAACTTCTCAGCCTCCAGAACTGTAGGAACTTTTCTTAATAAATTACCTAGCCTGTAGTATTCCATATAGCAACTCAAAGACTAAGACATCCCCCCTAAATTTTCTTCTGCTTTTCCTAACACAATTACCATTTGCAAGAAAGAATTGACTTTCATGCTTTCCAGTTTCACTTGCTAAACATTCCTTGCTATCTGCATTTTTTTTCCATCCAGGGTCCTTATTAATTTAAAGCACATAAGGGAAATGTGTGTTTTTTCCTCCCTTTCACGCTCACATGAACTAATCCATCATCTTCACCTTGCCTTGGTAATGGTATGGAGAAGAAAGCACAATGAACTGCTGACGGGAGACCTAGGTTCTGGCCTTGGCTCTGTTGTGTGACCCTAAGCGAGTCACTTAACCTCTCCATGTAAATGCCGCTGCCTCTAAGTCCGGCAGTCAGGAGATGATTTATTAGAGCTCTGCCAGTTCTGGCTTCCTGCAATTCAGCAACTGGCTTTGTATGCAGAAGACATCCAGCAAATGAATGTTGGGCTGGTGAGCTGCTTCCTCCTTCCTTCCAGTCTTGGGGTCCCGATGAAGCAGGATGATCCATGATGAAACGGTGGAGTTGTGCTGAGGTTACACATCCAACTGTGCAATGTGAGACACTAAGTAGATCAGAGGGCAGCCCATGAGGCTGAAGATGAGGCTGAAGGGGAGACGTGTTTATCCAGCTGAAATCGCTTTTTATTTCAGGTGCCCGTCTTTCTCGCCTAGGCAGCTCCCTTCAATCCTTTTTTCATGAAATGTGTTCGTACGTGTAGAAGAAGGGAGAAGAGCAGGAAAGGGTTAGAGGCAGGTGCAGAACTGGGGTCTGTGTTCCTCAAAAAGGAAAAGCTTGGCTGGTTGGGAATCTGATTCCTCTCATGGTCTTTTGGGTTCTCACACGATTCTATTGTCCTCCGGGGAGGTTTCTCCAAACAGAGCCAATAGAATATCATAGTTATAAAGAGGGCATTTAATAGATGAGTACCATCAGAGGCAGAATAGTCCTCACAGGGGCCATCTGTGGGCTGGGGAGACAGGGAAACCAGTAGCTGCTCAGTCCAAGAATCTGTAAACCTCAGAACATGAAAGCAGGGGTATGTGGGATGATGTCAGTAATGCAGCCCCTGTCTGAGGCCAAAAATGTCTTTGAAGAGTTGCTGACAAGAGTCCATATTGAAAGGCTAAAGAATCAGGAGTCTGATGTCCATGGGCAACAGCAGAAGCAAAAAAAAATATATATATATATATATAGATAGATAGATAGATATAGATAGATAGATAGATAGATAGAGATATAGATAGATAGATAGATACAGATACAGATATAGATATAGATATAGATATATAGAGAGAGCCTGCTCAAGATGGGTCAAGTGGGCACATCCACTCTTCTCCCTTCTGCTTTTTCATTATATCTGGACCACCAGCCTATGGGATGGTGCTGCCTAGGTTCAAGGTGGGTCTTCCCCACTCAGTTTGCTGGCCCACATGCCAATCATGCCTAGAGACACCCTCGCATACAAACCCAGAAGTGTGCTCAATCCAGTCAAGTGGTCAACCAAAATCAACCAGCACAACCTCTTCACTCCAACTTGGAATCACCCCCATGTCTTGAAGTCACAAAGCCTGGAGGTCTCAGAGAACTCCTGGTTTTGCCTCTTCATGTGAGGATGAGGACATGAGGCCCTACAAAGAAGTGACCACCCATCAAGGACAAGCACTTGAAAGATGATGAAGTTGACAGGGGCCTGAGGAGAGCCTGGTAACTCGGAATTTCTCTCTTCTCAGGCTTCTCACAGCCAATACCACTACTGCTGCTCCACTCAGCTCCCCTACAGGCCTCCTTCCCTTCCTGTTTCTTAGGAGAGCTTAGTCAGAATTCAGACTTAAATTCTGAATTCCAAAGACTTAAATTTAGAATTTAAAAGGCTCATACTAAACATTAACAGGAAACAAAAATTAAATAAGAAATACAGGGGGAGAGGAAGATGGCGGCGAGGGGAGTGCATTGCCCCCGTGTGCTGCTTCACTGTGTGGGAGTATGACAAGTCAGGACGGCTAAAGGCTATCTTGTTAGGAATTTCCAGCAATAGTGGGGTGCTCCGGAACCTGGAGGAAGGATTTCCATCGCACGAGGATAGGCTACGGGGACTCAAACGCGAGAGGTTTGTCGCATGGAGGGTAACACTGCTTATTCAGCAAATCGCCCCGCGGCTAGAGTCTGCAGCGCGCGCTGGGAAACGAGGAGATAGCGACGCAGGGATACAGCGCTGCAGTTTCTGCCAGCCATGCAAGCACCGTACTCAGGGCTGAATTCTGGGTTCGAGACGGGGGAAGGAAGCAGTCCATCTCGGTTCTCCACACCGGTCAGACCACAGAGGAAGCCAGCAGCCACCATGTTGGAAAGCTGACGTCACCATCCCTGTTTTCGACTGACCGCAGCTCATTCAGCCATAGAACAGGTAATTTCAGGCTGCCATTCGCCTGCGGCTTGCAGACAGATTGCTAGGGTTCAGTGCCTTGGTGCTTCTTAGAACCTGATCTTATCGGAGTGAACACCGAGTGCGGGGCAGCCGAGTTCCGGCTCCCGGAACCGCCCTGGCCCAGGGCTGGGGAGCCTGCGGAGGCTGCTTCTTGGACCCTGCTCCTATCAGAGCATACACCAAGCACTAAGCGGCTGAATTCCGGCTCCCGGAACTGAGCCCGCGGGGACTGCTTCTTGGAGCCTACTCTTATCAGAGCTTACACCGAGCACGGAGCGGCCGAGTTCCGGCTCCCGGAACTGCCCTGGCCCAGGGCTAGGAGCCCACGGAAACTGCTTCTCGGTCCGGGTCCTGCTGAGGGCCGGTCAGGACTCACCCATTGCTTTGGTTGCCCGACAAGGGGAACGAAATGCTGCCATTCGCATAGGATACCAACATGGCAGAGATCTGATGTCATCAGAAAGCGGCGGAGGAGAGAACTTCATCAATACCAGCGGCGACAGAAACA